ATAATACATTGTGGTACAATGGACAAAAGATCACGTTAATACTAGTCCATGTCCATCTTTCTTGCACTCATATCTTTGACTTTTTTGTCAAACATGTCCATTTTTCCATACCTGAAGCGTAAGTCCCCTCTTGGTACTTGATTGTCTCCACTGAATCTTCCTCAGCTAGCTTCCTACTCACTCAATCCAACTGCATCCAGGAACCTTCTTCAAACCTTTTTGTTTCATGGCATCTCTCAGTTGAGCTGCATCATTCCAAGAACCAGAAAGAGAAGAAACACTAGCAGCGAGTACGTAGTTTGATCCAAATTCAGGCTCTAGTTTTAGCAGAAATCTCCTCAGATTATCGTCTATTCTAATAACCTGACCATGGTTCCTACATGCGCCTAAGAAGCTCCTTAATATCACTGCATTAGGCTCCATTGGCATGTCCCTTATGATCCCATAAGCTTCTTCCATCAAGCCAGCTCTTCCAAACAAATCCACCATACACCCATAATGCTCCATTGTTGGCTTAATACAAAAAAATCTTTGCATCTGATAAAAAAATCTTCGAGCCTCATCAACTAGACCTGTGTGGCTACAGGCAGACAGGATCACTGAAAACAATTTGCTGTCTGGTTTCAGGCCACTTTGTTGCATCTGAATGAACAAGGAAATAGCAACATAACCTCGACCATTATCTGCAAGAGCAGAAATCATGACTGTCCATGCCTGCAAATTCTTCTCACTCATCAAATTAAAAATTTTGATTGCTTCCTCAATTTGCCCACATTTAGAGTACATCAGAAGGAGTGCTGTGCCTATAGCAACATCAAGCTCCGTGCTATTGACCACAAGGTAGGAATGAATAGATTTCCCTTTGATCAAATCAAGTAATCGGGTACAAGCCGAAAGCAAACTCACAAAAGTGACTGAATTTGGCTTCACATTCGCTAGTTTCATTTGTTGAAACATCTTAACTGCATTCCGTGGACAATTGCTGTTGAAAAAATAAATCTCTAATACGCACACAATCATACAAAGTAAAGAGTAAAATAGGAAAAAACATAAGATTCAACGTGATTCGACAAATATACCTATATTCACGTGTGAGATCAAAAATAAACTTTTCACCGTGACAAAAATTGAGAGTATATCACAAATAGAGTTTTTGACCTTTAAGTACTAGGACCCCCGGAATATTCTCCAGGATATGCATAGAACATTTCCCAATATATACACAAAATATTCTCATAATCAAGTCATATCAACAAAAAAAAGAACGAAGGACTTGATATCACCATAATTAATTCAACAACTTACATGATCTCTAACTCAAATAATTTATTTCCAGCTCACGTAATTTATATAAAAAATGCCCAGAAGAAACTAAAAAAACCAGTAATTTGAAGAAAGAGAGAACAAACCACGCATCATAACCCGCAATCAAAGAGCTCCAAGAAACCACATCTCTCACAAGCATTTCATCAAACACCTGCCTCGCAAACCCAATTTGACCGCACGCCGCATACATTCTCAAAAGGGTATTCCCTATATACCTATCAAATTCGAAACCCACCTTCAAAATCATTGAATGAACAGCCCCACCATGACTGATCATCGAACACAGACCGCTTGCTTTTAGAACAAAAGGGTATGTGAATTTGTCCGGTTTAAGGCCGGATTCCAGCATCTGAGAGAAGAGTTTAATTGCTTCTACGGGATTTGAGCTTTTCGTGAAGGATCTTATGAGTGAATTCCAAGCAAAAACCGGTGGCAATATGGGCAAGTTATCGAGAACTTGTCTCGCAAAAAGGATTGAAATCGAGCAAGAAGATGATATGAACAGGGAGACGAAGTTACTATCACGGTCAATGGCAGTTTTCAGTAGCAGCGAGTGGAGTTGGAGAAGATGATTGATGGTTTTTGACCGTTGTAGTAAGACGTGAACAATGCGGGAAATCATCAGATTCAAAAACTTAAGCCGCCATTGGAATTTTCTGAGATTGCTTATGTATTTCCTTCAAAAGTTTTTTGTATTAAAATTAGAAAACGAATTTTTTTTCCTTTTACTTCAAGATTTTTATGTTTTATTATTTATAGGAATTTTTTTTGTATATCATCATAAAATATTAATTTACACTAATTAAAATTAATACTAATTTTAACCTATGTAATTAATAATTAGCTTAAACCTATGTAACCTATGTAATTAATATTAATTAAAATTTGTTTAAAAAATTAAAATTTCATTAAAATTTTAAAATAATAGATTAGTTATAATTATGCCCAGTATTTAAAATTCCTTTAGAATTTATAAATTGTTTTAAATATCAAAATCTTCTTTATTTTTTTTTTTTAAAAAGGTGTTTTGTTAAAGAACGACGTCGTTTCTTCAACATTAACATGGGGCGCCGATCATCTTCTTCTCCGAGTCGAGCGCACCATATTGGCGAAGAACAAACCCTAAACCTGCGATCACCATTAACACCCTTAACAGGCGATTAATTGCTTCGCTTCAATGAACACCAGCGCCATCTCCGCCGCTACCACCACCAACTGTCCTCAGAGCCAGCTGAAAAGTGAGAAACCCCAAAAACCTCCTTTTCGACCTGCAAAAGATGACACCAAGCCTGTCCTTCAAGACCCAGTACTCTCCTTCTCCCTGTCTCTTCATATTCACACAGTTGTGTTTTTCTGAATCTGTATTGACACATTTTCTGTGGGTTTTTTTTTTTGTTTTCTTCTGGGTAGATTTTGAGATCCGACCCGATTGAGACTGAGGAAGCAGTGTTGAGGTTGCCTCCATTTCCGATCCTCAGATCATCAAAATGAAAATCTTCATGGAAATGCAGCTTCATGAATTACTGGGTTCTTTTCATTCTCTTTTAGCTTTCCATTTTACTGGGTTCTTGCTTGGATTGTGGTTCATGTGCTTGAGTTTTTGTATGAAGAAATCTAAAATTTTTGTCTGGTATATATTAAGTAATTAAAGTGACAATTACAAATTCATGTATAAAGCTCTTCGAAGATGAATTCTTGTTTGCCCATTCACTACTTACTTTCCTTTTATGTTCATGAGCATAAAGTTCTATTAATAAAAGACATTTACAAAAGATGCCAACATGGTCAACCTAACATAACCAACAATTTGATGAGCTTCTTAGATTTTTGTTTTCTTAACTCAACATAATGATATAATTTGAGAAATTAGTCATTATACCTTTTGATTCTGAGATATCTTCTCAATGTACCAACAAAGTTGTAGAGACAAATCTGATACGTGAGCAATAGCTAATTGTGAATTACTGAGTTTGGAGTGATATTCTCTGATGCAAATCAAACACTTCAACTTTAGCTGTAAGAGGATCTGAAGATTTGTTTTTGTTTCCAACTTTGGCTGCAACGAGTATTTGATCTAGATTTAACTTCACTGCAAATACTAAGGCCTCAGCATCCTTCATTGCCACACTGTTAATGTGAAGCTTTGTGCATATGTCTTATTCTTAAGCAGACACTTGATTTTCCATGCAATGCTATTGATATTGACTTGCATTATTGGTTCTACAGAAGTTTTCTTTAATTGTGAAGATGCATTGTATAAGATTTGGTATATGTAATCCTTTTTGAGCTTGGATTCTCCGTAACCAAATCATATTTGATTTGCGAATGCATAAATCAATTTTAATTTCCATAGTTTAACTTCATTCTTGATTCTATGGAAGTTTCTCTAACGGTGAAGATGCACTGCTAAGATCTAGTATATCTAATCCTTTTTAAGCTTGGATTCTCCACAGCCAAATCATATTTGCAATGTCGAATAAACAAAACATTGTTAATTTCCACAGTTTCACTTCATTCTTGGTTCTATGGAAGTTTTCTCTAATGGTGAAGATGCCTTGCTTAAGATCTGGTATATCCAATCCTTTTTGAGCTCGGATTCTCCACAGTCAAATCATATTTCTTATGGCGAATGCATAAATCAAATTTAATTTCCATACTTCTACTTCATTCTTGGTTTTATGGAAGTTTTCTCTAATGGTGAAGATGCACTGCATAAGATCTTGTGTCTGAAATCCTTTTTTAGCTTTTATTCTCCATAGTCAAATCATATTTACTATGGTGAATGCATAAATCAATGTTAATTTCCATTCTTTCACTTCATTCTTGGTTCTATGGAAGTTTTCTCTAATGATGAAGATGCACTGCATAAGATCTTGTGTATCCAATCATTTTTTTAGCTTGGATTCTCCATAGCCAAATCATATTTGCTATGGCCAATGCATAAATCAATGTTAATTTCAATTTCACTTCATTCTTGGTTCTATGGAAGTTTTATATAATGGTGAAAATTTGTTACATGAATTTGGTATATCCAATCCTTTTTTGAGCCTGGATTTTCCATAGCTAAATTGTATTTTCTATGGTGGATGCATAATCAGTATTGATTTTCATACTTTTCAAGTCAGGATCATGCTCCTTTATTTAATCAAAAGGAATTTTAACAATGCTTTAATGTTAATAGAGTTAAATTCATCGAGTCAAAGACTTTAATCAAAGTGAAACTACAGGATTTTAATACACATTGGAAAAAAGACATGAAAGTAAGAATCACCTTCTTTATAAGCACGCGGAGTTGAAGCTTCGTAAGCCATATAAGCCAATTAATGGGAATAAAATTATAATTTCTATCATCCAAGATTCTCCACCAAAATCTCATAACTAGTCAGTCAATCTCATAACTTTTTTTAAGGCTTGATAGGGAGGATAGCATACAGATTGCCCATGCTGTGACCTAGGTATGGAAGAACTTAATTAATAACCATTTTACTAATATCTTTTTTCTCTTCCCTTTGATAAGTTAATCAATAGGTATTTTAGCACCAACCTGAGCTTGCATGGAATCACTAACTGAAAGGTAATTTTCTTATTGTTTTTCTTGTAAAGAAGAGGAATGAAGTTGTGTTTGAATATGTTGACCAAATCATTGTCCTATCTAGTTTTTACATCATCACTACAACCATAGAATTTCAGGAAGTTTGGTTGCGTCACCGTCAGACAACTATGGATGTTCTATCTCTAGATACACTCAGGTTGGGTGGAAGACTCCGTATCCTAAGTGATACAAGCTTAACATGGACGACTCAACGATTGGTGACCCTAGATCTGTGACAACTACTGGCCTCATTAAGGACAACAATAGTGATTGGGTAATCGATTTTATTAGTAATCTTAGTGCTGATAGAGCTTTATCTGTCAAGTTTCACGGTGTCTTTAAGGGCTTTAAGCTTGTCTGACATATCGGTATTAAGAAACTCATAGTCAATGTGGACTCTATACATGTCAAGTCCTTGCTCATGCAACATAGGTGTTGCTTATTATATTGTGTCCTCGCGGATTAGTGATATGTTCAATCTCAATGGGAAGATCCAACTTTCTCATATTTATTGCAAACGTAATGTTTGCGCTGATATATTAGTCCACTGAGCCCGCAACATCTTATTGGGTAGCTTAATTTTGTCTTAAGCACCTAGAGATCTCAAGATCTATCTTCATATGGACTATTGTGATATGGCTTGGGTCCATCTTATGGTGCACCAACCTTTGCTTTTTTTTCCTTGTTTATAGCAAAAAAGATGGATCAATTATTAGACCTTATAAATAAATGAATATCCACATTAATTACCTGATCAACTTATCCATCACCATCATTATTATATCCAAATTTAAGAATGTAACTATAAAGGTCCGGAACTTAAAAGAAAATAAAATTATAAATTGAATGCGGAAACGAAATAATAGAGTTAGAGTTTACATTTCTTATACAATAGTTCAAAATACACAATAGGGTTACGTGAATGTTCCTTCTAAAACAACAAATGAAAATAAAAAAATAAGTAAATGAAAAGTAAACAACTAAATATTTTAGGACAACTTTCATTATCTTTTTAAGGGAGTTCGGGTAGTGAATTATTCATAACCTTTTTATAAATCGGGATCTGAATCTTAGTCATCTTAATTTAAAATAATTAATAAGAGGGTGAGTTATATTATTCCAGTAAGAATATCACACTATTCAGCGATACAGAAGCTGAAAGTTGGTAAAAATCATAAAAACAATCAATTGAGCTCTTAAATTAAGTAAATTCATTTATCATAAATAAAACTATTTATTGCATGCTTACTATTGCAAGATTTTCAAAATCAACTTATAAAAATAATAATTCAAACAACATCATAATCTCATTTTCAAGTGGGCAAGAACAACAATATTTTCTTTTTATTTGCTTACTGGTATCTCTCGGGATCTATAGGGATATTCCACTACGCGTGAACTAATATCTAAATTTTGTCAACTAACCAGTCATTCCTATACCCCGTCTGATATGAGTGCAAAGAATACCATCTCTTGATACTCCATCCGGTATGAGGGTGAATCGGGTCGTCCCCATATCTTGTTCGGTATGAGCACAAAAAAATATCACCCCTCGATACCCCGTTCGGTATGAGGTAACGTTCACGGTAGGATTTTCTATGTATCCGGTCCATCTACCATCTCTCAGGATATCCAGTAAGACAATCATTCACTTATTCACTTAACTAAGTAATTTTCCGTTTACATTTTAATTTTTTGTTTCACAAATTAACCGTAAATTACGAAGACAAACAATACATGCATCAAGAAAACACAATTGAATTATTTTATCAATTACAGTATATTATCATGGATTTAAACTGTAAAATCAAACAATCAGTTAAACAGGACAAACAATAATAACTAACTGATTCCGCTTCCATTAATAATCTGTAATTATTGTTAGGATTTTTTTACTTTTTACAAAATATAAGATTATCGATTATTAAGCTTTAATTTACTATAACAGGAGATATAGTGAGTGATTCTTACCCGAATCGATGTCCGAAATATCAAGTTTTGTACTGCGCCTATTGGCGGCCTCTAGATTTCTTAAATTTTTCTATGGAGCTTAAAACACGCTTTACGTATCTAAAAATACTCAAAAACCCAAAATCGGTGTTAAAAAACTTTTTTTTGGCTAATTTTGGGGTTTCGAGATGACGGTACCACTGTGCCACGATGACGACACCGCCACCCATGGCGGCGCCGGACTTTGCCCACAGTTTCCAGCTCACCCACCATTTGTTTTGTTCCCATATGATCACAGGGGTGCTCGGAATCGAATTTTGAGCGGGTAGGAGAATTTTTACTTTTTTTAGCAGTCGGATGTGGCTCCGGGGGGCGGCAGTTGGCTTCCTTCTCCGACAGGGAGCTAGCGGATGGGGTTCGGATTCTGTGTAATACAAAATATTTATACCTATATCGTGTTAATCTGGACCGTTCATCGCATTTAATTTCAACCGTTCGATCGCGCTTAAGGAGGAAACGAATCTAGACTGTTCATCGTATTTGATCTCGAGCATCTGATCGTGTCTAAGGAAGAAATAAATCTGGACCGTTTATCAAGTTTAATTGCAACTGTCCGATGCCCCTGCATAGGGAACGAATCCGGACCGTCCACGCACGCGGAAAGACATCTGGGCTGTCCGATCGCGGGGCACGTTGATCGCCAGCGTGGCCTATCACGTGGAACCGAGTCAGCGTGCTTTGCCACTCAGCGCGTTCCGATTCGTTGAGATTGCTGACTGTGTGGTCTTACGTGGTAAACTTTTTCAAAATTGTATTTTGATCCCTAATTTTTGATTTTTCTTTCAAAAACACCATTCAAACATAAATTTTCACTATTTTTACCCAAAATTATTTTTAATTTTATCCATAACTTATTTTTTCATAATTTCACATTAAATTAAAATTTATTAATTTCAAAAAAAAATAGATTTTTGTATATTTTAGAATGTTAAAATTAATTTCGAACTAAATTTCGGGTCCGGATAGTATAGTAACACTCTTGTCAACTTTTTCTATAGTATAACATAAATTTATTAATTGGGTTAAAAGAGAGTCCCACAATTCTTACCTACATAAATATTAAATTATATGAGGAAATATTTAAAATGCATCTTACTAATCTCC